TAATCAAAGAAATATCAATTTATTATAATACATGATTTGTATCCTGATTTCTCGTATTAATCACCTTGATGATTACTTATACTAGACAGTAAAGAATTATCATTCTTAACCAACTAATATGTTATGAATTATTAAAAGACTTAACGTGAACTTGAAATGAATTATTAAAAAAGACTTATCTATTCTTTTATTTGCAATTACATTTTCATTTACATTTCACGTTTTTCAGAAATTTGCGTACCACAATCATTAGTCCGAAATTCTCCGTTACATTTGATCTAAATATTAAATTGGCTTATACTAATCATAAAAAATTATAATTCTGCAGCCTGAAAACTATTTAAAAAAAACATACAAACACTTGCCGGCTAGGGGCAAAAATCGATGATTTTCACACATCCTCCTTTATAAAATTAATTGGTATAAATACATTAAAGTTTATTATCTATAATATGTGTAATCAGTAAACTAATAAGAATGCATTAATCATGGCAATTAATAAATTCTGTAATTTGTAGGATATGTAAAACGGATATACGAAGTGTAATAAAATTGTGTATTAGAGATCGTTATTAAAGTTCTGCAAATATCATTAAATGTTTTGTTACTGATTTTCACACTTCAATATCATTATTTTCGCAGTTCTTACAATAATCATCTAGCTGCTTCCATATACAATTATGGGCACATATTTTTGTAAAATGTGTTATTTAAAAATTATTATTTTTTTTTGTATTATTATTATTATTTTTTGTACAATATTATGTTTTTTTAATAAGAAAAGCACTAAATGCATGCGTCAGTAAGAAAAACTGTTATTCATGGAATAAGATAATATAGAACATGATTATGAAAATAAACCATTTAAATCCTATTTTCTTATTTTATATTAATTTAACAAAATAAGTTAAACATAATTGTTATTATGTACTACTTAGCAGTAAATGTTAACATAAGTTTTTGTACATTAAAATTGTCTTTTGACTTTTCGTCTATACAATTACTATGAAATCGATTATAATAATTATTATTATAGTAAAAATTATATTTTTAATTTTTGTTGAAAATATTAAATTAATAACACATAAGCGGTTGACATTGGTGTCCGCATAATGAGTCTCAACGCGCGATAATACTAAATTGTAAAGTTTAATCTTTCATAATACTAAAGATAAAATGTTATTATTAATATTAAAATGTAATATAAAAATTTATTTTACATAAAATTTGGAGAAAAAATACTAATAAGGAGTTATTTTAATTTTATTTTTAATTTTATTTTTTATTTTTTTTTTAATTTTATTTTATTTTATTAAAGATGTATAAAATTTAGGGTAATTATGCAGTATAGGGGAAGCACCTCCGATGACCTTGACCTTGACATATGTTGTCAAGGTCACCCTCCTGAGTGACCTTCAGAAGGTTTTAGCCGTCGCTCGTTTTTTATTAAAAAGTTATTAACAAAAATAAGTTTGGCGACCTCACCGATTTTAATGACCTTGATATATGTTGTCAAGGTCATGACCCCGAGTGACCTTCAGAAGGTTTTAGCCATCGCTCGCTATTCGTTAAAAAGTTATTAACAAAAAAAGTTTGGAAAATATAGTATATATAAGTGCATATATAAGTTAGTTGACGAGCTTTAAACACTTAAATACTTTTAAAGCGCGTCAACTAACCTATGTAGGTTAGTGATCAACGATTTACTGCTTTAAATGTTGTGTTTTAAAGCAGCGACTTTTTCGCAAAATAAAGTATTCTCTGCTTTAACAAAAAGACTTCAATTTATCAACAATTTACTGGTTTAAATGTTGTGTTTGGTAAAGCATATAAAGTTATAGAAGTTATGATTTTCTTTAAAGCAGGGCACACACACATGTGTGTATGTCCTGCTTTATAGAAGTTGTGATTTTCTTTAAAGCAGGGCACACACACGTATATATTAGTTATTTATGCCTTCTAATACTCAAAATAACTGCTATATTTTCCAAACTTTTTTTGTTAATAACTTTTTAACGAATAGCGAGCGACGGCTAAAACCTTCTGAAGGTCACTCAGGAGGGTGACCTTGACAACATATGTCAAGGTCAAGGTCATCGGAGGTGCTTCCCCTATACTGCATAATTACCAAATTTAGCACTTATTAAAAGTTTTTTAGGCAGTTTAGATATATATTTAACAATAAACATTATTACCAATTAATTAATGTAGAACAATGAAAAACGCGAATTTCTGGCTATCGATTTGTAAACCTCGATGATTTTCGAGAAACATTATAACAATTGGACGAAAGTATCAGTTATACATATATGTCTTTCTTAAGGATGGATAAATAATGGACTTTCAGACGTTTCATTCATTAATTATACAAATAATTTGTAATATAGTTAATAACTTTGTTGCAGTATGATAAATTTGGAGTTGACGGAATTAGTTTAGCTTGTAATGTCTCAAACATTTAAAAGCTGAAATATTGTTAAAGAAACACGGTATAGTCAAGAGACACGGTAGTGTCTCACTCCAAGTACACGCGCAGCGAGATTGACATTACCGGAAGGTCTGATGCATATGTTCGATTTAATATGTGTAATGAACTTGCACATTAAGCAGATACTGTAGAATAGATAAGTATATAATCTGAATTCTCGAGTGTATCTTGCTACAATGTATAATTTGATAAATAGTAGATTTGATGGATAGTCTAGAAACTTTAGATGGATATTAGTTATAAAATTATTCTACAAGAAAAACATAAATACGAATAAAAATTTTTAATTGACTGTATACTGGCAACGATTATAATCGTCGTGACAGATCGTCACCGCGTTTCGACCAAGGATTCTGGTCATTCTAAATTGATGTAAGTAAAAATTACTTATTTGGTTTGAATACACACCTTTGACTGAAAATCGGTGTTTCATCTTATTATTGTTTGTCATCTTAATACATGTTATTGCGATAAATATTACCATATGCCTCAGTGGTCGAATTGGTACGACACCCATCACGAAATGAGGGAGGTTCCAGGTTCGAACCCTGGCTGAGGTAATATTTTTCGCAATGAATGTAATATTTAATTAAGATGCTTACATATCTAACATCTAAAATTACATCAATTTAGAATGACCAGAATCCTTGGTCGAAACGCGGTGACGATCTGTCACGACGATTATAATCGTTGCCACGATTATAATCATTGCCAGTATATAGTTAATTAAAAATTCCTAATTGTGTTTATTATTCTCTGGCGAAGTAAAAATTACTTATTCGGTTTGAAAACATAAATACCTAAAAAATTCTTCTATTTAAATCATGAATATGAATGCAAAAAGTATATCTAATATAATAGTGAGAAAAACTAATTAGCTATAAATTAAATTAAAAAGAAAAACATCTAATTTTTTCAAAGATCTATGTAAATTAACAATATAAATTATATACGAAAAATTTTTAAGTTTTTATGATGACTTTTACAGATAACTTATTTAGACGGATAAATCACAAGGTAAAGTTCTCTTTGACGATAAAAGAAATATTTTATGCAGGAAAACGTGCATAAAAATGTATAGTTTTATTTATTTTAATGGGAACTTCCTGAAGCGGAAGAACTTAGATATTTGATGCTGAAATATTTTTACATAATTCATAAGAACTTGTAGCACATAATGATAACATAATGTTGACATTGTGGACTATATAATGCAGTTGTGCGGAACTGTTATTTTGAGTCCATTAATTAGTGCGATAATCTAACTAACGTTACACTTAGAGAAAATATGGAAAACTTATTCCGTATTCTTATCGTACCCATATATCCTGTCACTTATGAACAGGCAATAAATATTCCCGATAGTTAGTGGATGTCACTAACAATACGTAACACACGCAATCTACTATTTTCATCGCGAGATCCGTGTCGATTGATATAGTACCGAAGTGTCGACTTTATGCTTTTTATTAGACCTCTACGACTTTTACAAACTTAATATTTAATTTTGCATATATGATGCTTGCGAGAAAGGCACTTGCGCGGAAGCATGCTCAGCTGCGTATGCTCAGTGTCACTTCACAGTGTAAGAAGCGTAATCTAGACTCGAGTGCATGTAGATTGTAGATTTACCCAGACTCGCAATTAGTCGTATATAACGTTTAAAAGATCGCAATCAATTTGGATTCAGAGCAACTGGAAAGATAGGTATCGATAAAATAAAAAAACGGACACTTCTTAAATTATAAATTATAAATGATGCACGCTTGAAACGTTTTAACAAGACTTAAAGTGTATAAATTTAAAAAATCTTTACGCACAAATGTCTTGTCAGAAAAGAAAACATTGTATCGAAAAAACCAAATTAAAATATAAAAGATATTTATGAATCATTATGAAGCAATGCATGTGAATACGCATAAATTGACAAAATATAATGAAGAAGAAAAATAGATATTAACTTTAAGTTTTTTATGGAAGAAAATAATCGTTGCACGAATATCTTCGTTTCGGTTGAGAATTTAATCTTCATGGATGCCTGCAAAATCGACAATTTCTTCAGATATTTTAATAAAGAGGACGCCATTACGGAAGAAATTAATAAACGGAAAATGATCAAAATAAAATCAGAGACACATCAAGATTCCTTTTGGATGCTTAGAATATCGATAATATTTTTCAAGATCAACGGTCTCGCCACGTTTGCCCATCATATCGTCACGCGGAGAAAAAGACCATTGTGCGCATTTTATTACTCTAAATTTGGGATCATTTACAATGCCGTATTGAGTTGCTTAATAATCGCTTCGAACTATTTGTCGATACCGTTCATTCTCACTGTACAATATGAGAATAAGTCAAACTTAACTGTAACCCTCGAGGTTCTGCAAGCTATACTTGGCTCCCTGGTGATCTGCGCGATTTTACTGTTCTACTGCATCGATCAGAAATCCTTGGTTCGGATCGTCAATCAATTAATGGACGTCGAGCACGAAATGGATCGTCTGTATCTTTTGTATCGTCCGTTGCGACGACAGCGTATCTTCTATGCCGTGACCATCGTCTGCGTCTTGAAGATTTGTCTGCTGATTCTTCTTCTGACCACTGAGACCCTGGCCTTTCACGTTGGCCCGGTCGCCTGGCTGACGGACATTCTACCGAGTCTTTACGTGGATTGGCTGTTGATACAGTACTTCCTATTGGTCACGATCATTCAAGCGGATTTCGCCGATGTGAATCAAGCGATAGAGAGCCTCACTGAAGTCGACACACCTAATCTTCAACCACAGTCTTTCTATCAAACGCGTCGCATTATATTCAACAATTCCACTGTTTGTCAACTGTTGCAACTACGAGACATGCACTATCACCTTTGTGAGATTTCCAAGGACGTGTCGGATTTCTATTCACTGCCAGTATTGTTCGGCGTTACTTTTCTCTTTGTGACACTCATATTTAATGGCTACTATCTTCTCGCGCCAGCTCTAATGATAACCGGCGATAGCTTAGAGTTCAAGATTCTTAGTAACACTATCATCTGGTTAATATTTCTGATTTATCCCATTTCTATCCTTACCAACAGAATCACCAAGACTTTAAACGAGGTAGGATAATCGGTGTAATAATAAACTAGATTTTGATCGTATTTTAATCGAATTGTTTTAATTGAAAGACATTTTTTTACTAGCAAATAAAATCTCATGTATATTAAAATGTTTTACAAAATTGTACAGCATTGTTCCAATTATAAATTTATTTTAGATAGGGAAAACGGGCAAAATAATACATAGCCTTTTAAGATGCACAATCAGTAAAGAGTCAAAATCAGAGGTAAGACACAAAGTCACATGAAACTTTTTTATGGACAGTACTCAACGTAACGACATTTATCATAGATCTGTTGCAGCTCAAGCAATTTTCACTTCAATTGCTACATCACAAAGTACAGTTCACAGCTAAGGGATACTTTGCGCTCGATAACAGTTTTCTTCATTCGGTGAGAATATTTAGAATGTCGTTTGGATCTGATATAAGTTGAGTTTTCTTAATTCATTTAATGTTGATTATTAGCTGATCGGCACGGTGGCGACTTATTTGGTGATACTTATGCAATTTCAAATGGGCAGCTCATCAAAACCACACTGTAATTGTACAAAGAAAGATAAGTAAAATAATAAATTAAATATCAAAAATAACAGACGTAATGTATAGCGCAACGTTCCTTAAATTGATATTTAAAAGTCGATGAAATGGTATCGTCATGCAATTGCAGCTCTGTAACTTCTTTATATATTATAACTTTCTGATGTATTCAAACAACTCTGATTTGCAGAATTAAAGAACAAAAATTCTAATATATATATAAATATATATAGAGGAAAGTGCCCTATTATGAGATAGGATCCTAATATGAGATGGCGGGATTTTTTCATGGTGGGATCAACAGATAGTGCCTATATAGGGCCTTTTAGCTTAACATATCTCATATTTGGATCCTGTCTCATAATATAGGGCACTTCCCTCTATAAATGTATATATATAATATAATGGGGCATTCCATGCCAATTCGCGAGGAGTCAAACCTCGACCTTTTTATTTTTGATGGCGGCTCGTTTTTTAGCAGGTTTTTACGAGTACTAAACCCATGTAAGAGCGTTTCTATAATAAATGTAGCGTTTCTGAAATAGAGCCTGTGCGAAATGAGGACTGCAAGATTTTCAATGAATTTTTTTGCTTATTAGACAACGTCTAAGAAAAAAATGCATTGAACATAAAATACGCTATTTCGGTCATATTTAAAAAAAAATTACTCAAAATTTTTATAATAATACTAGCTGGTTACCCGGGCTTCGCCCGGGAGTCGTTTTTCTTAAAACGACTTCATTTGTGTTTCAATATCCTTATTGTGGACAAACATAAGGAGTGTGTCGGGTGGTTGATTTAAAGACGATAGTTTAACTTTTCCGCATAAATAACACATTCTAGGTGCTTAAAAATACTTTTGGATTTTTAGATGGAGAAATTTTTTTGGAGATATTTTTTCCGGGGGAGATTTGTTCCGGAAACCGAAATGACGGTTACCCAACATGTTGATGCGTAGATCGGCGCAAAGCAGAATAATTGTCAAGTTGACTTGCACAAATCTGCTCTAGACCGCGCGCAAGTCCGTGCGAAGCCACGGTATATACCTCTGTCTGCCTTACAAAAAAATCTATAAAAAATTCCCAAATTTTCTGCGCAACTTCGGATCGGTCTTAAAATTTTTCCAATACTCCCCAGAATATTCCTTATAAATTTAAAAAAATATATATATACAATATATATGGGTTTTTTAAGATATTCAAATTTTCTTGTGTTTTTTTACTCTAGTTGTTTAACAATATTATTATAAAAATTTTGAGTAATTTAAAAAAAAAAATGATCAAAATAGCGTATTTTATGTTCAATGAATTTTTTTCTTAGACGTTGTCTAATAGGCAAAAAAATTCATTGAAAATCTTGCAGTTTTCATTTTGCGCATGCTCTATATTTCGGAAACGCTACATTTATTGTAGAAACGCTCTTACATGGGTATAGTACTCGTAAGGACCTGCTAAAAAACGAGCCGCCATCAAAAATAAAAAGGTCGAGGTTTGACTCCTCGTGAATTGGCGTGGAATGCCCCATATACATACGTACTCGTATTAGAATTATAAAATATAAATTCGTAATTTATTGCATATCCCCGCAGGGTTCGCAATCTACTACCAATACTATCCTTCTCCTCTCACTTTAACCCTTTGGACCAACGGCTTAACGTCTCTTTTCGAAAGACGGAGCCCAGTTTTCTCTGCACAAGAGCCTATCTTGCACGAAGGGGCGCAGCTATCGGAAAAACATTCCATGCTTCATGGCTCTAGTGGACTCAAACCTGGTTCCTCAGATTACGAATCTGGCGCTCTACCACTAGACCACACTGCCGCCCCGAATTATAGAATATATTTAGTTACTATAATATTGACAATATTCAAAATAATTATCTTAATTTTTAATCGAAATCTGGATTATAAAGTTGTGAATATTTGAATATTACAATATTAGAATTCTAATGTATTTATAATTCTAGTCCACTGTTGTTTACATTGAACCTGCATTATAGAGAGATAACTTTGACATTCTGCAGAAGGGTTCATAACGTAATCCGTTGACATTGAAATACTTGTTACAAATCTACATTGAAGTGGATGTGGTTAAAAATAGAAAGAGGAAAGTAATTATTTAAAATATTACAGTCGTAAATTATCATCGTACGGAGAAGTTAATATTTAAAGTAGTAGAATATTACTGCGATATAATCAAAACAAATTACTCATACGGAGCGCTTATATCTTCTATCGCTGGTCCAAATGATTGAACAGACAAATAAAATAGCTCATGAATTTGACGTTCCTCAGGGGGATTCATAACGTATATCGTTGACATTGAAATGTTTATTACAGGCATGAAATGTGGTGTAATTAAAAAAGTATAAAGAAATTCAGAGATTACTATATCAAATAAAAAGAGCTAAGAGCCATGACACATCGCGTGTTCGTGTAGAAGTATTAAAAAAAGTATTATTTACAAACATATCTCTCGGTCTATATTAAATCATCTTCAGTATATAATTTGCTACTAATGTAATTAAAATTACAAGATCATATTGCAGTCATGTATTTTATACGATCATTGAATTGTGACTCTTATTATTATTCACATTTTTTTAAATAAAATGTTTAAACACAATTACCATTTCAATTCCGTAATATATGCGCAGTTACATGCGTATGAGAATATTTATCAATCATTGAATATATAGATAATAAATAAGTAACAGCATACTTGAATTAACAAAACTTAATATAAGCTTATTCAAATAATATTTTAACTCGAACAGATATAAAAGACATACGTTAAATATTATAGATTAAAATTATAGAATTTCTATATTTTTAAATGTTAGATATTAAATTTTTTATATGTTAGATATATACAATAAAATATATTAATAATTCAGGATGAATAAAAGACTATATAGCTCAAATACTTACCTCTGTTGACCTTCTTGATTTTCAAAAGATTAGGGATGTGTATTATCATGATAAGAACTTGGATCGGCATAATTTCTTTCATCTACATATTGTTGTATCAATCCTGCATTATTGTCTCCAGTTCTTTCTTCACATCCTGAGTATTCACTCTTATCATGAGATTTATAATGAGATGCTCAGACACTTCTTTCTTCAAATATTTTGACACGGTAATTGCAATTTTCCAATTTGCAAGATGCATAACGATTTGTAAATGTGAAATATTGGCGATAGCCAGCCACAAGTAATATCTTTTCGTATTTTAGCTATAACTTGTTCTTTATGACGCAAATTTATATGTTGCTCTATATAATATCTTCAACATGTTAAAATTGATTTGCCACAAAGTTTGGAACATGCTGTAAATTCTTCTTTTCTTAAGAAATATTCCCAAAGAGATTAGGTGTCGTTTCTCCATTTTAGGACAACTTCTTTATTATATATATTATGACATCTAATTAAGTGTTGTTTGGCAGTGCGCCAGATTTTTTTAGTAGTGTAACTATATATTCTTCACAATGCATTTTACTTGAGTATCATTTAATATTTCAAAATAATTTTACATCGATTTATTATATCGCGACATTATATCTGCTCGATATCACGGATCGTGTATTACTTACTAAATATGACATATCGACCACCAAGAAAAATGTTCGGTGAAACTATTTGGAGAAGATCTAAAACACACATTTAAACCTTTACCTTTACTAAACATAAATATTGATATTTTGTTTGAATCTTGCTAATAGTTAAGTCAGTTAAATTCGTTTTTAATTGCTCGATCTTATAGTAAGCACATTTAGATTAAGGAACACGTTTTGTCCACATTGTAGAGTTAAAATGTAAAACTTATTAGCTATAAATTTTATTATAAGAGCTTGTGTACATTAGTCACAGAATCTTGAACCAGCTATCTAGGAGGACTCAAAATACGTAAGAAAATGTAAGAAAATTACGTCCAGGAGTTTAAATTCACAATTTCACGTCTTTTTTCCCATTTTCCTCCATTTTCCACGTTTTATTAAAAAATTTTATACTGGCAAAAACGCTGCGTTATGAAGAATCATTTTAGTGCAATAAATGTGAAATTCCTCTCAATTGAATGATTCAACTGCACAATATTTGCGCAATTTTCCTATTCCGGAGTAGATATTTGTTAGAGATTCAATTTTACCACTTTATACGCTTTGTTACTATATAACTACATTAAACGATTCAGTCCTATTCGTTCTAGAGCTCTAGATTACAAGAGTAGCGCATCCCCTCCACAAACCGGACCTAAGGCCAGTCTGTGATTCGTTCTTATATATTTTGTCTCTGTTATTCTCAAATGATAGGTCAAAAATGGCGAGTCGGCAAGATAAAAGGTTTACGTTACTATTATAATTTAGAGTTCTAATTCGTTCAGGTGACGTCTCACCTTATGTAGAGTTCCTATATTAATTATAGGAACTCTAGATATATATTGTTGCGCTTGCGGCACGTTCGCTGCTTTCGCACACCCGCGCACTCGTTCGCGCCGCGCACTCCCGAACCGGGAATAAAAAGAGACTATAGCTAAACTCCCAAGAACGCCATTATTAAAAATCGCAACGGCGAGTAGGTACAAACATCAGAACGCTCCATGATATTGAGCTGATATAATGCCGCTACCGTGGGAAACGAGTCTGCTATGGGAGCATTTTAAAATATTATCAATAAAATAAAATGCAAGACTTGTACAAACACTTATAAAAACAGTTTTTTCATTACAAAAACCCACTTCATCAGGCATCACAGAATATTTGGAGGGGTAAAAACCACAGTGATGTAAGTCAAATTTTTTAAAATATTGACTTGTGTGTATAAATGCAATTTATATATTGTATAGATTGCATCTATGCACACGAATCAATATCTTAAAAAATTTGACTTACACCACTATGGCACCGCTCCATTTAATGAAGAAAATTACTTAAAATGGAAAAATGACACCTACCCATTTTGGCAACATTTCTCAAGAGATGACGGGTTTGTAGCACGTTGCAAACTTTGTGACAAAAATTACTTAAAAATGCA